ATGTGTGTCAACGGAACTAAGGACAAACTGTATATAATTCAACTCTATGTACAAAATGTGCCACTGGTATTTGAAATCTATACAGGTAGTAAAGTATCAGCAATAAATGAACATCTTTTTAAAAAATATTTTCGTGATTTTGTAATTTCAAGTTGCAATTTAAAGTTCAGATCTTATACCGGTGACTCGATCAAACCGTTGGGTTTTATCACTGTATTCGCGCGTCATTATAACTCTGATAACGAGATACGGGAGGCGCATGTACTACCATTATACATAATACCGGGTTATGGGCCTCCGCTACTCGACCGAGCGTGGCTACGCCGCTTACAACTTAAGAGCATAAACATAAAACAACACCATTAAAAAATGAAATCACATGTGATAAAACCGAACGCATAATTAATAATTTAAAAAATGAATTTTATAACGTTTTTGCTCCGGGATTAGGTACGTGTACAAAGCGATTTACGTTAAAGTTACTAACTTACCATTGTCCTTAAAGAAGCCACTCGAACAAGAATTGGAGCGACTCGTTAATGAGGGCACAATAGCTAGAGTAGAAAATTCGGAATACGGGACGCCTATTGCAACGTCGGTATAGGCGATCATCTGTATGTACGAAATTATTAAAATAAGAGTGATAAATGGGTCGAAGGACAAGTCAGTGAGCAAGTTGGCCCGAATTCCTACGCTGTTAACCTGCCGGCGGGTGTTAGTACCAGAAGACACATTGACCAAATGTTAATCCCTAAGATATCCCATAAAAAAAGATATTCATTGATCTGTACTTCGACAGACACAAATGTAACTAGAGATAGTATTACAACTACGCCAAGTACGGTGCTAACAGTGCCAGAGTCGCCGACCGCGATGGACCAGCCGGCCACTAGTTCGGAAAACAGTAAACAGATTTCGAGTGAAACAAAAGAGAAAAATATTAACACGTCTCCTCCTCCACCAATATTAAAGCGTAGTTTACGTCCTCATCGTGGCCGACCAAGGTACTATAATATAAACTAATGTAAGTTTTTATTTCAAATTATATGCTCATTAAGACTTGTGGTAAAATATTTACTAGAATTAAACTTTTTTATAATCTGTAACTATTTAAACGCATTATTAGGTACAGAGGTGTTGGGTATGTTGATAATTTATATTGTTAAAAACATGAAATTACCGCCATGAAGGTTAATAAACCAGTTGTTGCAACCACGGCTCGTGTTTCACTACATAACTTAGGCGAATGTAACTTTGTATGGAGAATATTTTGAAAAGATGTAAAATAAATATTAATAGTATCTAGAATACTTTTTGTACATCTTAAAATTTATTGAGTGTCCTACGTAAAATAGCAGCTTAGTACTGCTGTGTTTTGTATGGTGAGTGTAGAGATCCGGAGATCCTTTTTTAATGGAAACGAGGCATTCCATCTTAGTGTTCAGGGGAGACAGCTGCGTTTTGATTCTTAATCGAGGATAAACATAGATGTCCTAGTGGCCATAGTATCCACTTGCCATCATGTGAACTGTGTGCTCGTTTGTCACCCTTATTCTATCAAAAACAACTAAATCGAAACAATATCATTATGCTACTATTAATTTAAATGTTTTTAGGGATTTTAATGTTTTTAGGCGTATAGTATACGCACATAATATACATACGATATAACGCGATAAAATCCTTAGAAACCAGTTTTGTTAAGGGGATTGAGTAAGTCAGCTCAAATTCTAATTTCGTTCCCACTTGCCCGCGCGTCGTATGCTATGTACCGACATGTTTGTAATCACTAATACTGTAAGTAGAAAGGTCGTTAGACACTTATTTCATTAGGTTTATCATATTTATGCCTGTTTCTTAACGCCAAGCCAATCACTTCTTATTTTTATTACGGTTATTTCCCATTTTAATTTTACGTCGTCCTGTTGCGTAATGTATATTCTGATCGTAAGCGACACAACCTCCCCGTTCAAAGGCCGAAGCGAAGTGATCGTGCGGCAGGAACCACGCTTCAAGAGGCCGATAGTTTAGGTAATTTCTTTTTTACAGTGAAAATAATGGTATTTAAAAAAAAGTAAATAACATAAGCACTGCTTTATAGTTAGTTCAGTTAGTATGCAAAGTTTCATGATCTTATTTAAGGTATTTTATGAATAACAGCAGTTTATTGTTTATTTTGGAGGTAACTATGGATTTTTTCTCTATCGAGAAAATTTTACGAAATCGTGTTTTCGTCTAACATAATCCTTAACATTAATCCTCAACTTTACCATATATTTATTTCAAAATTAATGCTGCAATATTTTCGGCATTACGAAGGATCTTGCTAAGCCATTTGAGATTATATTTCCCCTTAATGTGTAATGTTCGCGCAACATAGAAAATCACTGCTATCAATTATTATCTAAAAAGGAGAGATAATTTTAAGTATTTATACATAAATTCTTCCTTTATCCATACCCCTTTCATATATACATCAATGTGAAAGAATGTATAACAAAACAATGGGTACAATTATACTAGGGGGCGTAGCACCATAGCACCGTCAACTTCCTGACTCCGAGCTGTTGAGAATTCCTTGACAGAAAACCCAATAAATATTTTGGCCTGACCGAGGATTCGAACCCTGAACCTCATGATTTAAGATTTCAGACCTGCTATAGTAGTAGCGTATACGCTACCCTAGTTTGGATGAAAACTTAGAATATCTATGGTAAGGTCATATGCAATCCCAGTCATCAGATACACAATGATCGCTTACAAAACATAGAGAGACAATTTACGCAAATTCATTTATCAAGCGACCAAAAATTATTTTACGTCACTCACTGAAAACCCTCGAGTAAAATTTTTATAGTAACCAAGATCAGGCCTTCTTGTTGTTTCGACTTAGGAATCTAGTCACTGGTTACATGCATTACCATAAAGTAAACTCGGCATATCACTTGAAGATGAATTTTTTGCACATAGTCATAGGTATCCGACTAGGAAACGACGATCTGTCAACCTCATCAGTACCCTTGTGGTATTGGCATCGACGAGTTAGAGCTTTTTTGTAGAATAAGGGTACCAAACGATTAACACAGTCCACCTGATAGTATGTGGATGCTGTGGCCCACGGACATCTCATCTATCTTCGATTAAAAATCTTAATGCAGATGCGTTGTCGCCTCTGTGGACTAAGATGGAATGCATCGCTTCCAGTAAAAAGGGTCTCCGGTTCTCTAAACTCACCATACGAAATACAGCATAAGCGTTGTCTTTCCCTGGTCGAGCCGACCCTTTTATGCTACAACTGTACTAAAACTCCACGGACTATCATGTAAGAAAAATGTTAGAAGGTTGTCCCGTCACGGTTCCCTGAACGATGTCATCCCAATAGCTCTTAGCTCTATAAATGTTCCTTTGTTTTCAGAGCTAAATGGAACATTAAGAGACGATGGCAGGAGGCCCAACGGTATGACCTTGATTCCTTGCGAGAGAGGAAAAGCCCTGGTGCTTGTAGCCTGGTGCTCGTACAGGGATACTACGTGTATAGAAACGTTGTTAGCCTCTCATCTCAGGGATACCTTATTTTGAGCCTAAGCGCCATCCGAGACAGCTGAACTAAATGGTGCAAATATGAGGCTCTGAGAAATACTACTCTCTCTCTCTCTTCCTGGCTATGTGTCCCATATGGTGGTGGGGTCAGCCTTTCTTGTCTTACGCCTCCACTTCGCTCTATCCTCGACTTCATTTTCGGAGACTTCGCACTCTCTCATGTCCTTTACCACTACATCTTTCCATCATGTTTTGGGTCTGCCCCTGGATCTTCGACCTGGGATGGAAAATTGTAGTGCCAAGTTCCCTACGTAGTCGGGTGGCCTCCTCTTCACGTGCCCATACCATCGCAGCCTACTTTCCTGCATCTTGTCAGCGATGTCGCGCACGCCCAAGCTTCCTCGCACGTACTCGTTGCGGATTTTGTCGAGCTTGGTAACGCCGCACATCCACCTCAGCATCTTCATCTCGGCAACTTGCATGGTATGCACATTCTTTTGAGTTACGTCCCATGTTTCACTGCCATACAATAGGACTGGTCTGATGATGGTCTTATAGATTAAACCTTTAAGTTTGGCCGGCATTCCCCTATCGCACGTGACACCAGTCACTTCTCGCCACTTTAGCCACGCTGCGGCTATTCGGTGCTGAATGTTAATTTCCAAGTCCCCAGAACCGCTCATCATACTACCCAGATACTGGTATTGATCACACGATTTAACCAATTGTCCATCGATGGAAATCGGACTGTTGTTTGTATCTGGGTCGTTGAAGGACATGAACTGAGTCTTTGCCACACTCAGCACAAGGCCACCGGTCTGTAACTGATGTTTCCACGACACGAGTGCCTCTTGCAAGTGAGCGCGGCTGTCTGTGCAGATGGCCACGTCGTCAGCGTATATAAATGTCCACGTTGCTGAATTCTGTGCCGCTTCAGTGAGTGAGTCCAGAACCAAACAAAACAGAAAAGGGCTCAATACAGAACCTTGGTGCACTCCTTCCGTGACCGCTATCGACTTGGTCTCACCCACCACCGTCCGAACCATTGACCTCGCATCTCTGTACATGTCGGCAATGATGTTAACGTAGTGTTCGGGGATATTTTTCTTACGAAGGCTCCACCAGATCATATCCCTTGGGACACGATCAAACGCCTTTTCCATGTCCAAAAATGCGACATACAATGGTCGGTTTTTCGCGCGATACTCTTCGATAATCGTGTTAAGAGCAAACATCGGATCCGTGGTAGACAATCCAGGTACGAAGCCATAGTGGTTCTTAGACAGCTCGCACTCGGATCTTATGCGGCTGTCAATTACCCTCTCATAGAGCTTCATGGACTGGGGAGCTTGATTCCGCGGTAGTTGTTGCACTCGTACTTACTACCTTTTCCCTTGTAGATGGGAACTATAGTGCTCAATCTCCACGCCTTTGGCATTTTTGAAGAGAACAACATACAGTTAAAGAAATCGGTTAGCAGTACGAGTCCGCGTGGACCTAAGTATTTCAAAGCTTCCGTCAGGTCCAATGGCTTTCTTGTTGGACATTTTGTGTAGGGCTTTCTTTACCTCATCAGGATGTATTGGAGGTATAAGTCCTGCATTCACTTCCAATCCAGGAAGTTGTGTGGCAGCTAGATGGGGTAGGGATAGTAGCTGTTCGTAGTAATGATGCCAAGCTGTTATGACATCATGGTCTTTATATAACAAGTCGCCATTTAGACCTTTGACAGATTTACACCTGGCCGAATCCTTTGTGCTTTGACAACGCTGTTTTGCTAGCTTATATATACACTTTTGGCCTTCTTTTGTGTTTAACTTACTATAAAGCGTTTTCTGGGACTGCGCACGTTCTATGGCTATAACTTTCTTGGTAACTTTTTTAACTTCTTTGTACTTTTCCCGATCTTCTGGGGTTAAAGTAGACTGCCAGGTCTTAAAAGCATCTTTCTTTTCCCGTATTGCATCTTGCACCTTCTCTGTCCACCACCACGTCTCTCTGTCGGATTTTTTACCGCTTTTTGTACGGCCAAGATTATTGTTTGCAGTAGTTATAATGGACTTTCGTAAATGTTCCCATATGGTGTCAATATCTGATTTAACATCAACCTTTAAATCAGCAAGACGTTCACAGAACTCGGGAATTTTCTCACCTTTTAGGTTCCACCATTTGGTGAGTTCAGGAATTTGAGTTGGTTTTTCCTTGGGATGTCGTTTAAATAGCACGTCCATTACAACAATATGGTGTTGGGGGACGACGCATTCTCCCGGAATAACCTTACAATTTGTTACACGGCCAATGTGAACTCGGTTGATTAGTATGTAGTCAATCTGTGAAGATGTTTGGCCGCTTTTATACGTGATCAGATGTTCGATCTTTTTAGCCAAAAAAGAATTGGCAATAGCAAGATCGAAGGCTGCTGCCGTGGAGAGAATGACTTTACCAGCATCGTTTAGTGTTCCGTATACGTAACCTCCGTGCACCCTTTTGAAAGCGCTGTTTGCTTCTCCGATGTGGCCGTTTAAATCACCTCCCAGTAAAGTAGTTTCTTTAGGATATATTAATTGAAGAATGTATTCTAGGGAAGTCCAAAAATTGTCTTTCTCTGCTTGGCTACAACCCGCTTGGGGAGCATATGCAGCTACAATATTTAGTACCTCACCTTCCACCAGTACCTTTATTGACATGAGTCTGTCGTTAATACGGTTGACCTCCAGGATGTTTTCAAGATGATCTTCTTTGACAGCAATTGCTACGCCATTCCTACCATGCTTTGCACCTACGTACATAAGTTTGTAGCCCTCTCCGATATTACGGGCTTTGGATCCAGTCCATCGAATCTCTTGTAGACATATAAAATCTACCCTTCTGCGCTTGAAAAGAGAGGCAAGTAAGAAGAGCTGAGAAATACTACATATTTGTGTAAAGATGTGTAATTCTGTTGGTTGGTCTGTTAAAAATAAATAAATAAATTCACTATATAAAACTCTGCTAAACTTCTAAATATCAAGACCTGCGGTCTTAGAAGCCAAATCACTTTTAACGTACCATAGCCGTGGCGAAATTAGTTGTGTGCAACGCCAGCGTATAAGTTTAAGATGGCTTATAATTTTATGAGATAACGTTTCACATGTAGTGACGGTGTAAACGAACCCATCGCCAAATTACATCCCTTTGGTGACGTAAGAAGCGAAGAAGGCATATTCTATAAAAAAACAACTTATAGCTTCCGATACTTGTGATAATAATAATAATGTCCTCCAGACCGAATTTCGGTTACGGCGGCCAGTCTCAACGGAGACTAGCCATCGGCGCAGGACAGGATTATAGTGCCCAAGTGTATGCGCAAGCACAGGTGCACTCTCTATTCCCTCACCCCCATAATCCGATGGGACGGTAAACCGACACGACCGGAGAGAGATCAGGTGCAGAACCAACGGCTTTACGTGCTTTCCGAGGCACGGGGTGGGACACCGCCAACTTTCTGACTCCGGGCAGCTACTGAGAATTTCTTGATGGAAAAACTCAATAATTGATTTTTTGGCCCGACCCGGGATTCGAACCTAGGACCTCATGATCAGCAGTCGCACTACTACAACCACTAGACCAACGAGGCAGTCAACTTAAATGATAAATGTGCGAAATGTCTAACACTAGTCGAATCGTCTAGCACGAATGAATCTAACTATAAAAGGACCGCGCTCTCACAGAATACCAGCGTGAAATAATAACAGCTTAACTGCTTAATACTGCTGTGTTACGGATAATGAGTGACGAAAACCGGAGACCCTTTTTACTGGTAACGAAGGATTTTAGCTCGTACCTCTCAGGAGTAACAATGTATCTGCATTTTGCTCCTTAGTCGAGGATAGATGTAGATCTCCATGGAAATATACTTGATTGAGGATTGTTGTAGATATCATGGGCCACTATATCCACTTACCAACTGGTGGATTGTGTGATCGTTTGTCACCCTTATTGTATAAAATAACAGTACAACAATTAAATTTAACACTGAACATGTGGTAAATCTGTCCAACACCTTAACTAGAAAAATCCTGCCGAGAAGGGGAATATGAGTAAAGGATTATAATAAAATTTGAAACCGATTTGCAATCCATTTAAAAACCTCTTAATATGGAATTAGTATTTCGGAAGAGACACTTTAAACCGGTACCTTAAACTTAGCCAAAACCGGAGTCTGAGAATCTAAATGAAAAACCGTAACGACATTCAATACCGGTCTTCAGTCCTTTCTCTCCACTCAGGCTTTACAATAAGATTTCATACATTAAAGCGCACATCTTCAATGACCTATTGCAACATATTCGCGTTGCTTAATACGAGCGTCTGAGAGAACGGAGTTCTTGGATTACATACAAGTATCGTTTATTAGTTCAATTAACGTAGACTTGCTAATCTATTTCGGCTGTTCCATTTAAAAATCAAGTAAGGATTTTAAGCTAGTTTTCAGGAAAGAAACGGAACATAAATTGAGGGAAATCTTGAACTGTTAATTACAACATTCTAGACATATAGACATATAGTAATTTTACGGTGTTCCAGAGAGCTCAAGGGATCTGTGACAGTAAACACCTGACCGCCGAGCTACAGCACGTCAAGCAAGTATTTGCTGTATTGCTTCGGGTCCCGCGTCTACATCACAGTGAACGAGTGAAGCCGGCCACATTTGAACGTGTGCCCGCTGTACTACTTACTGTACTCTTGAAATGGGCTTCCATAAGAACATTCTACAAGCCGCTGAAAAAGATTGGTCAGTTCCTACCATCTGTTAAATGTAATATGCCTTGATAACATGCACGAGTGTACACAAGCTTCATTGTGAATGTGGCCTCTCTTAGAATAGACAAACAAAAAGATCCATAAAAACCCACGTAAAAGAACATATCGCTGTACTGAAGCATCGACGCTCCTGGCAGTCCGCAGCATGTCACTATGTTCAGGATTGTCCTAATCATGACATCGCATTTGATAGAAAACAAATCTTCACAAAAGAACACCGATTCATTCTAAGGATGATCCGCGAGGTCATTTAAATTAAAAATACATTCTAATTTCAAAAGAGCAGATGACTGGACTATCTGCTTCCCCCAAGTAATGCCACATAGCACGGTCCTGAGCCACATGCATCCATCGACTTCCTGCATGTCTTACCAGGTCTTCACTCCATTTAGTGGGGGGCCGCCCTACACTACGCCTACCGGTACGAGGCTGCCACTCGAGAACCTATCTTCCCCATCGGTTGTCGGTTCTTCGAGCTATATGGCCGGCCCATTGCCACTTCAGCTTACTAATCCGTTGGGCTATGTCGGTCACTCTGGTTTTACCGCCGATATGCTCATTTCTGAGTCTATCACGCGGAGAAACTCCGAGCATAGCCCTCTCTATAGCTCGCGGAGCGACCTTGAGCATGCTCATACGGCCAGCAGTGAAGGACCACGTCTCAGATACGTAAGTCATCACTGGCAACACGCATTATCTGGTTGGGATCCCATAATTAATAAAACTAAATCCAAACCCAGTAGTATGCTCTACTGCAAGTCTTCAAGATACTGTAAGCTCGTTTTGCGTTAGTCGGACCAGTCTAAAATATATATATTATTATAAAAAAATAATTTAAAGATGGAAACTTTTCATTCCAAATTCCAATAGCATTTTTAATAACATAACTATTTGTTACATTAATTTAGTTGACAGGGCGTGGTTTCTGTTTCTATTTCTTTTTAAATGGCTACCCAAAATGTTAATTAATTGTTCCAATTTTTCAGCTTTAAGTCGAAACCTTTCATTAAATTCATAGGTCATCTCCATATGACTGTAGTCAATTCTTGTTCTATATGTTCTTGGTTCCATTATTCTAATATTTTCATCATCGCTTGAGTCACTTCACCACATTTTAAAAAGGACGATGACGTTTAAAAATATTACAGTACTATTGATCCCTACATATGAAATCATCGTTTTGTCGTACAGATCACTTTGATCTGAAATATCTCCTCTTTGGTTAAGAATTCGGAATTAAAATTTATAAATTCAATTATCTGGTACATTTGAGTTTTGAAAACAGTCATTCATTTGTTTTTTCTTCATTATTTTTTTCTTTGGCGTCGCTTATTACCGCACAATAGAAAACATGAAATATCGGTATATTTACGAGTACGAGTTGTACCGTGGCACCAGTGCTGCGAAACAGCTCGAAGGTTTAGTGATGTGTACGACGCTGGTGTCGCAAAAGAAAACACGGTACGTTTTTGGTTTCAACGTTTTCCTTCTGGAAATTTCGACCTTCAGAACCAACCCCGTGGACGGCCGGAGACCAAAGTGGAAAATGAAGAATTAAAGGCTATTGTGGAATCGGATCCGTCACAAAGCACTTCAAAGATAGCTGCAGGCTTCGGGGTAAGTGATAAAACTATATTGATCCACTTGAAGCAAATCGGGAAAGTAAAAAAACTTGAACGACCTCATGAATTGAGTGAATCGAACTTGCAAACACGCGTCGACTGCTGTGTTACTTTGCTCAAGCGACAAAAAAATGGAGGGATTTTAAATCGAATCATTGCTTGTGATGAAAAGTGAATACTGTACGATAATCGGAAGTGCTCGTCGCAATGGCGGAACTCTGGAGACAGCCAAATCCCGTCCTAAACGAAAAGTGACTCAGAAAAAGTAACTTGTGAGTTTTTGGTGAACTAGCGCGGGTGTCGTTCACTACAGTTTTCTAAAATCTGGCCAAACGATTACGGCAAATATATATTGTCAGCAACTGCAAACCATGAAGGAAGAACTAGCTGCTAAACAACCGAGATTGGTCAATCGCTGCTTCACGACAACGCTTCTTCTTCAAGACCGCAACTTCAAGACCACACACTGCACAACAAACAACCACTAAGTTAGATGAGCTACAATTGGTATGTCTGCGACATTCACCGTACACCGGGAGTACATTTAAGTTATACATAAGTAAGTACATATTCGTATATATAAGTTTTCTTCAATTCTTTCTTATTTTTACTAAAAATGGAGCGGGGTAATACAATATTTACCAGACGTACCACAATATCTAAACTAAACGGTGACGTACGACAAGTGTTGCCAGGAGTCCTTTATTTTGAAGGACGTCCTCTATAACAGAATAAAAAATTGATCGTGTCCCCTAATTTGAAATCTTTAATAGAGGACAAAGCAATATCGTCTTCCATCAACAATACTAATTTTTTATCGAAGAATATCGTGCTAGTTGAGGTCAAAGAATTTAAAAATCACTTAGAGGTGTAACGACGTGCGGTTTTAGGGTTGCGTAATAACATTGTTTTTATATTAATAAATGTTGTTACTGATACTGTAATATAATTTAATTGAAAACAATATCAAAATACTTTATTTTAGTCCTGTCTTGTATATATTTAATCCACAGAAATCGTATTATTATTACTATTTCTGTGATTTAATCTTACCAAATGCTCTAAAACATGAAACGTTGGAAACCCTATTAACAACACGCCAAACGCTATCTAGAGAGCGGCGATGATGACGAACGTCGTTGGTGAACATAAATGATTTATCACTTTTATACCCCTATTACACTACCCTGAATCATCTACGCCCTACCTACCTACCTACGCCCTGATTCAGGGTTGTGTAATACATTGAGCTATTATGTACTACGTACTAGAAGCGACACTGCATTCAGCTACTCTGTTCCACTCAACTGCGGTGCATACACCGCACTTTAATCAGTTACTTGCTTGGCGCTTGTAGAGTTGTC